AAAGGGAAGCTTACTGTAGCAGGAAGGGGAGACGCCCTTGCCCCTTCACCAATCAGACTCATCTCTGCCTCTTGGCCCCCCTTCTCCCCTGCTTCTGGACTTCTCTCTGCCACAGACTCTCCCACCTCACTAAACCTTGTTACCTCCTCCGTTCCCAACACCTTCTCTTCCCAGTCTTCTCCCTCTACAACTCATCATTGTCCCACCACCAATCCCCTGGGCTCTGAGCCTTCTTTTCCCTTGGTGGTTCCCCGGCTGGTTCTTCCCACCATTCCTCTGCATCCAACTAGTCCGTGACAGCTGGGCTCAAGAGGAGTGGGTTATGAGAGCACATGCATGCCTGATGCAAGATGAGGGGCTGCAGAAGCAATGTGCCAAGCTTCGTGACATTACCAGGGTCTGCCCAGTGTGACATCACCACAGGCCACCCCTACATCTCAGGTTTGGGGCCTGAAATCCTGGCAACTCTACTAGTCAGTTCAGCGAGGCATGAAAAAGGTAGGTAGGTGGCTGGGAGACAATCTTGGTAGAAAGGAAAGTAATACTGACTGATGACTGGGTGGAAAACTGCAACACATTTTAATAACTGTGGAAATACAAGACATCCCATCAGTATTGGCATTCTGCTGGCTCTTGAAGAAACACCTATTCCCCTACATGATCTCCTGACTTGAACCTCCTGTTTTAATTGCTCTTTTAACTCCTAAAAGCCATGCTGCTTTAATAGGCTTATTTCACTGTACAACTTCATTGCAAGTGCTTATTTTCATGTTTTGATGAAATTGCTTTCTTGTGTATTTTAAGTACAGTGGTACCTCGGGTTACATACACTTCAGGTTACAGACTCCACTAACCCAGAAATAGTACCTCAGGTTAAGAACTTTGCTTCAGGATGAGAACAGAAATCGTGCTCCAGCAGTGCAGCGGCAGCAGCAGGAGGCCCCATTAGCTAAAGTGGTGCTTCAGGTTAAGAACAGTTTCAGGTTAAGAACAGACCTCCGGAACAAATTAAGTACGTAACCAGAGGTACCACTGTATTGTGTTTTTATTTTCTCTAATTGCTTTCATGCTTATGAAGCACTTAGAAGCCACCTTGGCGGTATATAAATTAGCAAATTATAAGAGAATTTCTGCAGTTCCTCCCTAGATTTGCCAATCTGTTCAAACAACAAAATACAGAAGTGAGAGCACCAGCTTTATTTGCAGCTTCGCTTGAAATACAGTCAATTGGGTGGGGTGGGGGTGGGGAAGCAACATTGCAACTGTAGACCAAAACGGTTAAGAACAAGGAAGAAGAGAAATCTTAGTTAAAGCCATAGCAGATTACACTTTCTAGAAATATGTGTGAATACCACTAAGTATTCTTCCTTTTTTTTTTTCAAAGGGAGTATGCACCACTTAGAGAAGTTCTGTTCAACTTTCAGTTTAACAGAGGTTATGAACATTATGTTGACACGACTATACATGCAAATTACATTCCGCAGAAAGGATGGGGGAAATGTGGTTTGTGGTTTATCTTGTTTCGACTTCACAAAACAAACCATCTACAATCATTTTCCAACTCTTCTCTATTGACATATGTGATATGTCTCCAACAACAACCATTTAAAAAACAATGGACAGTGATTTCCCCTACCTTAATGAAGAGAACACATTTATCAAAAGCAGGGACTTTAAAAGAAAGTTGTTGTTATTTATATTTTTACTGTTGTAACTCCATGAAGTACAAATTTTGCTGTATGTATCCTATACCCCATATAGCAAAAGGAACAGGCCCAGTGTGGGGGAATCTATAGCCCCACAGATGTTGAACTCCAACTCACATCAGCCCCATACAGCATGTCAAGGATGATGGGAGCTGAGGTCCAATGACTTCTAGAGGGCCACACATTCTCAACATCTGGAGTAAGAACTGTTGTGGAGTCATGGTTTGTTTCAGTCTAAACAAACCATGATCTGTAGCCACTATCTGTTCTGTCTTATTGATCATGGTTTGAGCAAAAACAAGAACACACACACACAACCCAAACAACCACAATCCCCAATTTGTACATAACACTTAGTCAAGGATTGTGGTTTGTTTTTCCCATGCATTGATGGGGAGGAGCACAGTGGCCCAGATTAGTGGAATAATGGTAAACCACTCACTCTGGTTTCCTGTGATGTGTGGATTGACCTACAGATTGAGTAAAGTATTCCCAAGAAATGGGGAAGCTACAACTACTGCTGCCGCCACCACTGCCTGTAAGAACTGCCAGGGACATTAAAGTAGAACAAAACAGGGAGGGACAAGAAGGGAGGGAATTTACAACAAAAAGCACCTGCCGCATGAACGTCACTTGGATTGTATGCAAAAAATCTATAGTCATTTTTACTTCCCTATTCCACACAGTGCACAGAGTCTGGAAAGCCCTTCAGGGTTTGAACTGAGCTTGTGTTCCCTAGGCACTGATTTAGGGCAAGGTCCCCTTCAGCCACACATCCTCCTTGCCTAATGTATGCCTAGCCTGCTTATGCCCAGGGCTTCAGCTTCCAACATATCAGGAATTTTTTTACATAGAGATACTTTCCAACAAGCAACCCCACTTGCATGCATTGTGAGCTGATGACATCCTTCAGAACCAGGTGCCTCCTCCATACATTTAAATGGGATATAGAGGTCACACCAGACAAGTGAGGTAGGCAGAACCTCTCCCTGCTTACCTCCCCATATCGTTATGCCACCTCCTGCATTTCTCTCTCAGCTGAGCCTCCGGAATCATAGTTCAACTAAGGAGAAAGACAGCTGGGCAGGTCAGTGGACCAACAGAGAGCATCCTTAACAGCAGATCCCTGATGCCTGCTATAGGCCTTCTTAAACAAAAAACTCTCATCCAGACGGCTGCCTCCCTCCCCGCAACCACAATGCCCTGGAAATTCTGGGGAAATCGCTTCTGCTTGGAATTGTTGTCAGAATCAAGGAACAAATGGTGGAGAGTGTCACTACTGTAGGTGGGGGTCCACAAGAAGACACTTTGCTGAGGGCACACCCAGACCTGGAGTCACTCCTGATTGTTGTCATTATCGGTTTTACTCACCGAATTGCTGAACCAGTGCAAGCTCTGACAATTTCAGTGGGGCCTGCACCACTCTACAAAGATTTTAGAGATGCTCTGATGGTAGGCCTTAAAACCAGGGATGGAGAACTTGTGGCCCTCCTGATGTTGTTAGACAACATCTCCCATCATCTCTGACCACCAACCATGTTGGTTGGGGCAGATGGGAGTTGGAGTCTAGAGGGTCACAAGTTCCCCCATCCCTGCCCTAAATCATCTGCCCAGTGCAGACACATTTGAGACAATAAGAACACTTCAAGCTTGGGTTTCCCATTAGACTTGACATTTGACATTTACTGCTTTGACCGCCCGCTGCCCCCCTCAGCACATCCACTTCTACTCCTCACTTAAAAGTCTTTTCTTCCACAGAGTACGGGATCTTCTTTAGGTGAGTTCAACCATTCAAGGAAACATGAGGTGCTACGTGGGTGCTAAACAATATAAATTGATATCCAAGTTCTCCTCCATGCACAAAAATGAATAAAGTCTATAAATAGTTGATTTTCACAGGACCTTAGCTTGAACGGAATCTTATATTATTCCAGAAGAATATAAAACTTGATCCTAAAGTTTCAGGCCAGTGTATCTATTACCAGAAAAAAATAAATCAGCTTCTGTGATCCTTAGAGTTTGGGACATTTCCCCCAAGTCAAGGATGGGGAACCTCCAGATGTTGGTTGGACTACAACTCCCAGCATCCCTTATCACTGGCCATGCTGTCTCGGACTAATGGGAGTCTGAGACCAACAACATGTGGATGGCTACAGCATTTCCATCCCTCTTCTAAACATTTATATATTGAAGTCTTATCTAGTAACACATAAGAGAAACAAAATCACTCTCTTTAACTCAGGCTATGGCTATACAGTACCACTGAAACAAATCCTTCTTTTTTTCTTTTAAACACTGGCTGACCTTTACTCGCAACTTGCAAGTGACCGCCCTATCTATTGATTTTTATTAATACTACGTTCCAGGCAAGCATGTTTATGATAGCAGCCTTACTCATGATTTCCGGTAAGAGTTTAAACAGAGCCAAATACATGTTAGAATTTATTTATTTATTGGCAAAAAAAAAAATCTTCATCACAAAATGTACAGTCTCTCAAATATTTTATATGGTCTCTTGAACAATGGTATACAATGCATTTCAGTGTAAATTCGACAAATGTTTATGTTTTGGGGTCCAAGAAAGGAAGTATTTATATGGCTTTAATTAGTAACAGTTGAAAATTGTCGTTTTGTTCAGGACGTTTGTTTATAATGGCAGTTTGCAGAGAAATGTTTTATCTTCCTCTTCTAAGGCTGTGTATACAAGAGTCAAAACCTACAGTTGAGTATTAACCTACTGTCCCTTATACTCTTTTTAAAAAAAGTTATTCTAGTCCTGCTGTCCTCCTTTTGTTTTTATTTTTCACAGATTCGTTAGGTTTCAGGTTTTTGATGTTTAAATTAAAAGGTAAAGGTACCCCTGCCCATACGGGCCAGTCTTGACAGACTCTAGGGTTGTGCGCTCATCTCACTCTAGAGGCCGGGAGCCAGCGCTGTCCGCAGACACTTCCGGGTCACGTGGCCAGCGTGACGAAGCTGCTCCGGCGAACCAGCACCAGAGCAGCACACGGAACGCCGTTTACCTTCCCGCTAGAAAGCGGTACCTATTTATCTACTTGCACTTAATTGTGCTTTCGAACTGCTAGGTGGGCAGGAGCTGGGACCGAACGATGGGAGCTCACCCCGCCGCGGGGATTTGAACCGCTGACCATGCGATCGGCAAGTCCTAGGCGCTGAGGTTTTACCCACAGCGCCACCCGCGTCCCGATGTTTAGATTAGCCCACTGATAAAGACGTAAGATGCTGACAGTCTGTTTGACTTTTTCCCATGAAAGAAAATAGTTCTCACTGTACCTGATAAAATTCCCGAAGCCAATTCTTCTGTAAATTTTCTGGCTGGAAAATAAACAAATAAAACAAAATTAATATATGACTTCTGTAATACAGACAAGGCAAAATGACTAAGCGAAAGATACAAGCACTGATTTTAGCATGTGCACACTTAAAAGGAGTATTTCAATTACACACAAATAAGACTTTTGATTTTTGTGATGTTGGAAGTTGATATTGCTTCTCTCAGGCACACAACCAATAAACTTTTCACCAAAGGCATTTTGATATAGTGGGTTTCATTCAATGTTCTCTTCAGAGCAGACCCACCGAAATGAACAAGCATGACTAATCTAGGACCATTAATTTTAGTAAGTAATTAGTAATTTTAGTAACACTGGATACAACTCACTATATTTAATTAATTTAAAGCACTTGTGTCCTGCTCCTCAGCCAAAAAAGGCTCTCACAGCGGCTTACATAAATTCAAAACAAGACATTCCCTATCTGCAGGCTTACAAGCTTTGTTTTATAAAAAAAATTAAAAATACAAGGGGAAAAAGGAAAATCAAAACTCAGGCACCAATTTCTAGACCATTGTTCCTGTATTGACCAGCTGACACAGTTCTGAGGCAGGAAGGTAGCTGATGGAGCTGAGACTCCAACAAAGGCGATGGAGTAAGCCCTGCTTCCTCTCTCCTGTTGATGCAGTTTGATGGAATGGCAGCCCGCAGGTGACATTTAAGGGAGGAGGCGGCCTGATGGAGCTGACCTGTCCCAGCAGAGTCAATGGATCATTATGGTGGTGAGTCTGAGTCTTGGAAGACCTGCTCCCTGCCTTGAAGGCCTTCTTCCACCTGGCTGGGGTGGGTGGGCCCCTGGTTGAATCCAGCTACAAAGTCTGAGACTCTTGGGCTGGGATATTGTTTGGTGAGGTTTGTTTGGGGTGGGGTGGCGGTGGTTGCTGTTACTGATATCAAATATTTTGGTATCTTTATTTTGTATATTTATTATGATTCGTTCATAATAACTGAGAATTGATATTCTCATAGCACCACTCGCCAGGCAATACAGCAGACGTTTTTTCTGGAACCAAAACTCAGATACAACGGTACCTCAGTTTTCGAACATAATCCTTTCCGGAAGACTGTTCAAGTTCTGAAACGTTCAAAAACCGATAACTCAGTAGCCGACAGCTAGGCCACAGGACCTTGCATTCAGCGGAAGTCACGTGGCATGTTCACCTTCCAAGGCTTTGAAAACCAAAGCATGGGTTTACGGCATTCAAAAACCGAAATGTTCGTCAACAGAGATGTTCGAATACTGAGGTACTACTGTACATAGAAAGTTGAACTGGAAGCAGATATTACAAAAAAATGAAAAACATGGGGCTGCTGCTGGAGACACTTGCCACTCTTGAAATGCGGGGGAATAATGAAACGAATGTGTGTGTTTTTAACTGCACCCACCCTGCCAGACCTGGAAATAGCAGGCAGAGCTGTTGATAAGTTGCTGGAGTCATAGCACCCCAGCAGGCTCACCACTGGTAACTGTTCTGGGCACTCCAGGGAGCAGGTCTTCCAGGACTGACAGGCCAAGATATTGCAATGGTGTCCACCGATAGTATCACTTGTACAGCCCAGTGCACAAATTAGACTATCTAAAAGCATTGTGAGCTGCTTGCTGGAAGCAGGGGAGGCAGGAACGTGACGATCTAATAAAAATTATGGGAGAAGGGGAATGGAATGAAATACACAGGAAGGTATCAAGGCTAAATGGCTGGCACCTAAACTAGAAACACTCCACACTGCAACACTTCGTTGCAGGTCCCACTTGTTAACTTCTAATAGACATATTTTACCGAAAACAGTGATTTATAGGTTGTCACAAAAAGAGAAAGGAAAATATTTTTACGGTTCTCGGGTAATGACGTCAAAGCTTTATGTTTTCTGTATGACTAATTATCGGTTTTAAACTGTCAAGAGCTACAATTCCGAAAAGCAAAATGAAGAAAATGTTTTGGCGCCACTTTGGAAAGTGTTTTGGCGTATTTGGAAAACAAATACGAGAAGAGAGTCGCATCAGTTCAGGGCATTTTCAAACATCACAAGCCTTCCACGCCACCATGTTATATTCACTGAAAGCCTTTTAAACAATTAATATGGCAGACTGAGTTTGTTACACAAACGGGAAGTTGGCTCTCAGTGGATGGAATGCAGACTCACAAGCCTCTGGTGTACAACCACCTCCAAACGGGGAACAGCTTCTAGCCAACTCAATCCTTGCAAAAACTGCAAAACTCAACACCAGAAAAAAAAGCCACAAAATAAATTTATGTCCAAGGCAGTCAGTCAACGGTGTTATGAAAAGAGATCACTGCACTATAAAATACTTTATGGCAGCTGTTTTATAGATGCCAAATAATTCCAGCATTACACAAGGAGAGGACAGAGGTATGGGAAAGGCAAACCAGCCATAGAGCTGGTAACTTATTTTTATTCCTGCTCAGCGGCTGCACGGCGTTCTGGAAAATTACATAGAAAATTCACGGACCTATAATCACAAATGCCAACTATCATTTGACATGCTTTTAAAGCCTGTCAGTATAGCATTTTTTATATATATAAAGGCAGTTAAGACTGTTCTTACTCATAAGAGCATAAAGAGAGCTCTGCTGGAACAGCTCACGGAAGGCCATCGAGAAAGTAACAAATCTATTTCCAAAGCCATTTGGGTATTCTGGCAAATGTGAAGGCCTTTCCAGTGGTGACGCCCCAGTTGTGGAATGCCCTCCTTTCCCCTCTTTATCTTTGTGGTGCCAGGTGAAAGCCTTATTTTCCTAGGCACTGTATATTTAACTTTTAGTGCTTTTTCATGCATGTTTTCAATGGTGTGATGTTTCTGGTTTTCTCTCTTCCATTTCCATTGTGATCACCAAGTCACAAGTTACCATTTGCAAAATTGTATTGTTCAAAGCCTTGTTCAAAGCAGTGTCGCTGACTGGTGTGCGAAATCAGCCATGGCTACTACATCTTCCTAGCCCTCTTCTATACAGTGGCGGCAAAGTTCCGGTTGCCACAGCCATGCTCTCTGCCTTTCGGTTTGGGCAGAAAGGGACTGCCTACCCAACCAGTCAACGTAGCCAAGAGAGTTTAGACACAGCCATTTTTCTCTGCACCAGGCACAGTCACAGGCAGATGATAATAAATAAAATTTATTATTATTATTATTATTATTATTATTATTATTATGATCAAGTGGGCTTGATGTGCACTTCTTTGCTGCCATGACTGCCACTAGGTAAGCTCCATGATGAACCCTCACCAGTGTTCAATTGCATTCGACTGCAGTTTCCCTCCACTCGCATTCGAACCGTCTCTCAGCTCGTTTCCTCGCTCTAAGTTCTGGAGTATACCAAGGAGCCACAAAGCAGGAGAAGGCATATTAAATGATCTATGGCCTTTCAAACTGTGTGTGTTGGGAGGGTATAGCTTTAGTTTGTTACTACATTGTGTCAGGGTGGATTTGATTTAAATCAAACAATTTAAATCACTAGTCAGTAGAACTTGATTTAAATCTTTCTCTTTTTTTTTGTACAGCAAGACTTATTCTTGCTGGTATCATCTTAATACCGTGTTTACAACCAGATAAAGGTTTCGTTTTTGGAATAATAAATGTTCAGAGTAGTTTTTACTGATTTGGTCATACTGTTAGAAATACATAGACAGATAATTATGAAATTATTGTGAGGTTTAATAAGTTAACTGTTTATATTTGGACAACTTTTCTGCTGTACTTTATTGGAAGCAGAAAAATAATCATTTCCTTAATAACAACTTAAACAATTTATTTAACTAAAACAATAACATTATAGCATATGTATCCATGTTTGTTAACTGATGTGGTTAAACAATTTAAAAAAAAAACTTTTAGCACACATGAAAAACTTAAAACAAATTCTTATTTCCTGATGAATAGCCTTTGGACTATAATTTAACTTAAATAGAAAACTATCTTTAGAAATACTTTTCTTCCAAAAGCATTTTATTTTAAAAAACTGATATAATTTTTTTAAAATCAGATTTTTTAAAAAAAAACACCATTGATTTTTATCCACCCTGCAATGTGTATTTTTGTGCTTTTATATTGGAAGCCGTCCTGTGATCCTCAGATGAAGGGCAGTATAGAAACATAATAAAATTAATATTTGCCATACCTTTATGGACCTACCTACACGTCCTTGTTCATGCCCAAGTGAATACACGAAGGCTAAGTTTGCTTGTAACACCAAACTGTAGCTTAATTGATTGTGTGTACAAGCCTGAGGCATCCCCTCCTCCCCTCCCCGCCTCCAGGATGACCACAAAGAGGAGATCAGAAGCTTTCACTTCTGTTTTCAACTTAACCACATTTTAGTGTTGCTTCTGAACTTGAAACTATGATTATTAACATTAACCGGTTCACTGAAAACAAGCCAGGATCTTTAACCAAGGTTCGACCTTTTGGCAAACCATAGTTATTACTAACCACAGCTTGTCTGGGTTCAAACATAATGGGAACTGTGGTTAGTTGAAAATGAGAGGGTTTTCGCCCAGCTGGAATATACCCTTGAACTTTGATCATGCTTCTTGCTTTCCTGGGTGGAGAATGCGGGGGGTGGGTTACAGCTAGTTTACTGTGCAGAGGGAAAATTAACACTTTCGCTTGCAAGCCCAGTCTTCATTATTAGCATGTGGCCTTCAGAATGCTGCCCAGAATGGAATGCAGCCATCAGTCTGAAAAGGTTCCCCTTTCCAGGTAGACCGAGCCTAAGAATTCCAGAGCAAAAGGGCACTTCACCATCCTATCAGCTTTACTGCTGCCATTAAGTTATGTGGTTGTGAAACAGAATACAGTGGTCTTGGTTGTCAAACGCCTTGGTTCTCAAACGCCAAAAACATGGAAGTGTTTTGGTTTTTGAACGTTTTTCAGAAGCTGAACGTCCAATGCGGTTGCTGGCTATTGTTTCCGGGGCACCTGCACCAATCAGAAGCTGCGCCTTGGTTTTTGAACATTTCGGAAGTCAA